TGGACTCCGGCGGGAACCCCTGATCCAACATGGGCTACCAACCAACCAACTCCTTCTCAGCTCTGTCAAAGTCTGCGTAAACCTTTTCGTATATCCTTTAAACCTAATGAAATCGTAAGATTAATATACATTCATCTGTTCTTCATAAAATCCTCCCTGCTGCAATATGCTACAGCCACTCGTGAACAGAGTGCTACTACCGATGCTTTATAGTCCTTAAAAACTGGAGCCAAGCGACTGAAACGTTTCCACACGTAACTTATACTGATAACCAAATACCGTTCCTCTTTGTGGCTTTAAGTACCGTGAAATTCATAATTGTCGGTCTCTATATTTGTTTATATTTATAATCATTTGCATATTGAATTTAATTAACTGAACGTGTTTATTTATTTCTCATTAATTTTCTTTATTGTAAATTTTTATTTTTAGATTAAAAAGCTCTCACTATCGCGATATGACGGAAGCAGCTAGTGTTTATAGTTAGCCATGCGGTAGTGTACCAGAGTTGTTCCAATACTGCATCACCAGGTAGGACAAAAGTTGAACAGTGGAGGCAGACATTTTAAGAAACTGGAAACTTATCAATTAAGCCGTGAACAGGAAGAACGTCTGATAAAATTGTCAAAAAATAGAGAATAATGGCGCAAATCAACTAGGAACAGCGCGAGCGTGTAAGATATCACAGTGTTCTGCTAACGGATGCAACGAGAAATAAAAATTATAAGCATATCAAAAGGTTACAGATAAAAAACACTTAAGTTCAAGCAACCCAACATAGAGAGATGAAAATTTTGCGAATCGCACATTATATCGGCGTTGTGACAAGGCTGGAATTCAGTCTCAAGTATGCAAAACATATTTCCTCGAACCGCTGCAAAAATGAGATCACAAGAGCCTCTGTTATCAGCGACTTTTTCGGCGTTTTTTCGGCTTTTTGACATCGTAAGTAGGTTGGGGCCGCGTGCCAGCATCACCATCATCATCACCACCGCCGCCACCGGGTTGATCATTCGCATCGTCCGGAGCCCCCGCATCACCAGGGTCGAAGCCAGTGGGGATGAACTCCTCTGGAATGGCAATCAGTCGGTTGAGCTCCAGGACGTCTAGAGCAGCACGCTCGGCAGGCCATTCACCAAATTCGGCAGTCAGGAAGTTCCGTCCCTGCTTGTTGGTGCCGCTTTTCTCGAAATGTTTCAGTTGGTGCTGAAGCAATAACACACAAGCGAATATTTCATATCATAAATCAAATATCGCTTGGTCCATGTTAGTCATGGGCGATATAAGAAACACATTAAATCCTCGGGAAAATATTGAGTAGTCGGCGGAAGGATGTGCTTTGGCGCGTAGGAAGTACAAGTATATAAAAAGAATATCTAACCGGAATATCTGGCAAGATCGCAGGTTAAGATACTACTGAAATGGACGACAAATAGTAGAAGCAGGCTAAGAAAGAAGCGCGTTGTTAGGCAGTGCATTAATTGAGACAATGTGCAGTGCTATTTATTAATCAAAGTGTACGTACCATACTATTTCGTGAGATGGCTGTGACAAATAAGAAACGCGAATGCATAGGACAAAATGTACCCAGCAATGTACCATAAAGGACGTCGTTGAAGGCATCTGCTTATGAGGAACAACAAGCCCGTTAAATAATAGAGCCGTCTTACAGCATTAGAAGGGTGTTGTCATCCCTTGACAAAAGTTCACGGATCGTTAACGGAACTCGCTCGTCTGGTTCTGCCTTGGGGCTCACTGTCGAGCTCGTCGAAAATTCAACCAAATCATCCACCAAGTTGGTGGTGAGCTATCGACACGCTGTGACTCTGTTCGTAATGTGAATGACAGTTTCAGTGCTGTCAACTCAGCCAAGGTCAATCGCTGACGTGAGCACGTCGAGCACCTCCTCAACTTTGATGAGCAATCCAACACACCTTCCCTCTCCTCTGCACTGGAGTTCTAACGCTCGCCAGCCTATGCAGCGCTGTGCGACTTACCTTCTGAGGGGTAAGTTGCCGATTTAACACAGAGGCTGGACAATATCAAGGCGCCCGGATCGGACAGTATTCCCGTTGAAATCTGCAAGTCTTGTGTCGACACGGGCGTTCTGGCTCCATGGGGGTAACTGAGCAACGGTGGCGATGAAATAGTTCCCAGGGACTGGAGTTCGGGCATTCTTATGCCTGTATTATAGACGGAAGACATGAAAAAGGGCGAAAACGATCGCCTCATCGAAGTTGCTGCGAAGATTTTCGCTATTGTCTTTCTCAGAATATGCCAGTCTGTACAAGACTCTGGGACAAGGCCCAACCAAGCCGGACTCTGAGCTGGGAGTGGACCAGACATTCACACTGAGGCGCATTCTGGAATCACGCCATGGCTGCCAACAGCCTACGGCCATCTGCTTTGTTAACTTCGCTACTGC